TACATAGAAAATGAATGTCATGAGAGTGAAATAAGTATAAACTTTCAAAGCGCCGTGCGTCGTCCCGTCACCGATACCGGGTAACAATTTCACCACTTCCCACACTCTTGCGGGCGGGCTGCATCATTATTCTACGCTTATATTCATATCACCGTGTTGGGAATTTCATTGCGAGTCCATTGATACCAAAATTAACGCTGTAGAACAAGTGTGGAGGTGATTACAATCCCAAGAGTAAAAACATTTTGTTGCTGATGGGGGCTCACGGCGAGTCATCTACGTAGTTATTTATTTGGTGCTGGTATCCCTATATGTTTCGTGACTTATTTTACTAATGTTCTTCTAGAGAATTTTATTGCGAACACGTTGGTACCAAAATGAAATACGTAGCTCAAGAACTAAGGTCAGAAGAGTAAAAAGAGTATACACATTTTTGTTTTTACGCTTAAGCGATAAAAACGCAGCGCGCACATTCGGTTGGCTGAGTGACCTTTGCGGAGAGCGCGAAAGTGTTAAGTATGTCACCTATGCACATATTTAATAAGTCAATATTGACTTATTAAATTTGCGAGAACGGGTTGCTCCATACTAGCAGCACTTGCCCATTTATCTACTAACTCATTAGCAACTTTCCCTGGATCTGAATGAGCAATGAATTTGGTCTTACAACCCCTGATTTTGTTTACTGCTCTCCATATGTCTTTAAGGTTCTTAGTATTACCAATGGACTGAGCAAAGTCTTGCCAGTATCTGTCCCGCGCCTCCTTTCTCACCTGACTGCATTCCCTAGCCACTTCCAACATTGTATTTTTCTCTTCATCCCTCATTCCATATTTTAACCATTCTTTATGTGCACTCCGTAGCATTCTCTCCCACCCCTTGACTTGCTGATCATTGGAATATTTAAATTTCTTAGGTCCATGCATCTTGCTTCCCCTGCCCCCGTTATTTTCCCTCTGTACTAATTTCTCTATGTTCTCGACCATGTCCTCGTAAAAACTATCAACGCAGAGCGGCATGTAATGTTGATACCAATCTCCCATATTTTGAATAAAATATTTTTTCATATCTTTATTAATATGTAGCCTTTTCCTTTGAAAGTGGACTTGTTTTTTCCCCAGTGGTAATTCAACGTTCAAGGCAAAGTGGTCACTAAGTAGTTCCCGAACAACCCGAGCCTCCCCCATAATCCCCTGAGAGTTTAAAAGGCAGGCATAGTCAAGCCGTCCTCCCCTGATGTGAGTTGGTTCATTGTTTCCCAAGAGACAGGTATCTGGATGATCTTGTAGAAACTGTAACCACTTGACCCCATTAGTATTAATACTACCCACTGTCCCAAGGCTTGTGTGCCGAGCATTAAGGTCCCCAATGACCAGTGAAGGATTAGTATAAATGCAGTCAGGTAAATAGCGTCGAAGCAGTTTCTGGATACATACAAATTAACTACAATAAATTCCCCTTCCCTTAATGATAATTTAACACAGACACTCTCTATACCTTGCGTTTTTGATGGCGGTTCTACTAACTCTGCTGGTATGGAGTTCTTAACATAAATCGACGTGCCTCTGACGTTATTTGCGGCGAAGAGGTCAAACCCTTTATAGCCATTTAATTTCAATAATCCTTCATTCCTATCCCCTGTCTCTTGGAGAGCTACAACATCAATATCATTTCCCATCACATAACAATGAACATCTGTAACCCTGTTTCTTAAACCATTAACATTCCATGACAACACTTTCAGTCTAGGGTGATCCATTATTAATCAATTCACTGTTTAAGTCATCCCCAATAAGTTCACTAAATGATAGCCATACCTTGTATAACATCTCCCACCTCTTCCCAAGTTCACCAGTAAAAGCGACATTGCGATTCTCAAGAGATTTTTTCAGCCCTGTGACGTCCATTATTGGCCCAAATGATTCCTTCATTTTATGTGTAATTATAGGGTTCTTCCTTTCACTACGACTATCATCATTCACACACACTTCACTTTCCTTCATTTCATCACTCAATATTTCATTCTTGTCCTCAACCACTATATCCTGATTATCCTTCACCGTTTTGTGATTTTCCTTGACCTCCTGAACGTTCAATTTCGCCTCGATGGACTCGATTCTCTGCCCAAGATGTCGGAGGAACTCACCAACTTTTCTAAGTTCAGCCCACACTTCCTTGACCGTATCACTATGACCCTCTTTCTGAGCCACAGTAGCCACTTCACTCACCGTTACACTGTCACTGCTGGAGTCCTGAGTGGTGGCGTGGCTGCTTGTTGCTGGAGCCTGCCTAAGTAAAGGTGACTCCTTTACCCATGCATTCGTCCGGTTCACTGGCACTGTTTGGGGCAGACTGTTTTGCTGTGCTCCCGGTGTCTGGATAAGAGCTCTTGCTTGCTCTGTAACATTCACCGGCCGGAGAACATCCATACTCGGCCTCTTGCTACACACAGCCGAGCTGGCATTGTGAACACCTCCACAGTTGCAGCATCTGGGAACTATTTTCTCCCCCAGATTAAGTCTGCTTCTACGCACATTAGAGAGGTGAGACTTTCCGCAGAAACGACATCATGGATCATTTTGACAGCTCCAGGATTTATGGCCCCATCTGCAGCATTTCAGGGATATTATGGGTTCTTCCACATACTTTGCTACATGCCTGTAGCCAGCCCCGGTGATGAACACTTTCTCGGGAACTTCACCTCTCACTAGAGCCACCACCTGACTCCTAGCTTCACCTTTAATAAGGTGACGCTTGGCCCACACAAATCGGTGGTCGTCGAGGATGAACTCGGGGTCTAGAATCTGAGGGTATTTGTAAATAATTACCTTTGTCAGCTTCTCGTTCCCCTCCGGTATTTCCATAACAATTCCATCATATCCTTGCTGGCTAAGAAACGTCACTGCCTCCATAGAACCTACCGTTAAGTAAGGTCTGTTTACACCTTCCTTCAACAGGGGCTCGAACTTGCGGTGTTCTCTTCCAAGTGTGACTGTCCACAGCAGCTTCTGATGATAGGCCAGCGTGCATGAGGCAGGGAAGAGAAGCCTCCATCTCCGCTGACCCTCACCTTCCTGACATCGTTCCGTCCGTTTGTCTGCATCAGTCTCGGCGTCGTTCTTCATTCTCTTGTCGTTTCCGTTAAGTGTACCATTACTGTCCACACTACGCCTTGCATCCTGTCTTCTGCGTTTCTTCTTATTCCTTGTCAGAACTTCTTGAAACACGCCCTCCTCGTCTGACTGGCTGCTTTCAGATTTTTTTTTTTTTTTTTCCCAGAAGGGTCCTCTGGTTGTTGATGCTTGGTTGGTCATGCCGAGGGTGCATCATGTTTCATGTCTGGTTGCGGCCCTCTGCCGTTATTTGCGCGCCATGGCTTCTGTGTCCGGGGATGTGCTTTGGATTGATTCAATTTTTCTTCTTCCCTCTTCATGGGTACGGGTCTCTCAGGTTGTCCACAAGATTATTAATAACACTATCGCTCTGTTTGGACATCGCTCGCGTCCACTACTTTTTTCTCGAGTCCTAACCTTGGACTGCGCTCGTGTCCAATACAAAAATATTTATATAGAATTCATTTTTTATCAGATCGACTTGGGGATAGTTTCAAAATGATCGCCTTTAGAGTGCACACAATTTGATACCAAAATGAAAGATGTAACACGAAACTTGGTGTCAGAACACTTGAAAGATTATATATGTTTTTGGTCAAAATTGTAAAATATTTGTTAAAATTCTATTTATTGTGCTATTATTATGGGACTAGTTTTAAAACGTGCGCCTTTAGATTGCGAACAATTTGATACCAAAATGAAAGATGTAACACGAAAATTTGTCAGAACACTGGAAAGATATAATTAATTTTGTGATGATGAGCGTCCAAAGTTAAAATATTTGTTAAAATTCTATTTATTGCTCTATTATTATGAGACAAGTTTTAAAATATGCGCCTTTTTATTACAAATAATTTGATACATAATGAAAGAAAAAATTAAGAAAGAAAAGAAAGAAAAATTAAGGTAGAAAATATAAACCTAATTATTATTCTAATATATAAGCCGCCAGATACAGCGGTTGAGTTATTCACAGAGCAGATGCACAAAATAGAGAACATCCTTGATAATCTAGCGAACCCAGCACCAGATATTATCTTCCTTGGAGATTTCAATCTACCAAGTCTAAGATGGAGAATGGCAAACACAAATATCATAGCAGGGAACAACCTGGGAAATAACCAACCACAGGTCAGAAAACTTTTAAGATTCTGTGACAAATTCTCGCTCAATCAACAGATTACAGAACCAACTAGGAACGAAAACACACTAGACTTGTTATTCACAAACAATGATGAACTAATCAGAAACAGTACAATCTCAGATACTACATACTCAGACCATAACCTCATTGAAGTGCGAACTAGCATAAATAATGGTAGTAGGTCTAAGATTCCCAACAAGCGTAAAGGGGTATTCAATCAATTCAATTTCAACAATAAGAGGATCAACTGGGAGAAAATAAAAGTAGACCTTGCAAACATTCAATGGGAAACGGTCTTAAGCTACAAAATTCCCACACAGGGAATAGCTCATCTGACGACTGAAGCACACAAGGTCTGCTTGAAGCACGTGCCTGTGAGGAGGGTCAGAAAGAGAACCACTCTAGAAAGAGAGTGCATTTTCGTTCAAGTTCGGGAAAGTTCGTTATTTTCGTTGGTTTTACCAGAATAGGGGTTGGTTTTGAGGCGCTTACTTTTCTGGGTGCTTGTCCCGGTTGATGGCAGATATAGAATGCTCCAAAATCACATGTGCATTTCTATTTGCCATCGCTCCTCGTGCCTCTGAGGGGGCCAGGTTCTAGCCATGGTCCCCAGTAAGCCTAGAATTCCACCCACATCAACTGATGCCAGAAGTTAGGACTATCAGCCTGGATAGCTCCGGGGAGCCTCCGGGACTTACTCAGAAAATGGTGTTTCATTACATTCAACGCTGTTTTTTTTTCAGCTCTCAGGGTGTTGTGTACATGGTTGATGAGGCAACGGGGGGATTAGAAGTATCTCATCGGATGATTCTCTCTAACAGAGACTACGGAGGCTCTCCAGGATCTGTCAGTAAGTGCTTAAAAAGATTCTTTAATATCTGTTCTGTTCATGTATTGTATATAGGTGATTATCTATTTGTAGTTATGTTATAGTTATGCTGTGATGCTCCATCGTCATTACTGATAATATAACTATTGTATTATCTTCTCTCCTGATAGAAAATCCACTTGGCTCATTGAGATTTTTTTTTTTTTTTGAGATGAGAAATGAGAAAAATACAGTACAGTATATCAATGAGAAAAAAGATTTTCTCATTGATATACTGTATATCAATCCACTAGTGTGGATTTTCTGTGAGTATCTGAAGTTGAGGAGTATGGTGTTGAACTGCTTTGCCAACACCCGAGTGCTTGGGGTCATAGGTAAACTTGGACTGGCTTCAGGAGAGGCCTCCAGACTTTTTGTCAATTCAGTAGAATCTCAGGTTGTGTAACTTTGTCCTGGTCAGTGGTGGTACAATGGTATAGAGTATGCTGCTGGTAGTGCCTGGGTCACGAGTTTGCATCACCTCAGAGCCCCAGTGGATTGTCTCAGTAATAATAATTACAGTGCTTCCTCAGTCTAATGAACCCCGCGCTATCGAATTCCCGGAAGAGCCGAACAAATTGAATTCGGTACCAAATGTTCAGTGGGACATACAGTACAAATGTTCGATTAAGCGAGGAATGTTCATCCAAGCGGTCACCGAGGCCGAGCGTCGGAGCTGGCTGTCATCAACTATGATTCGCCAGAGTGTAAACAGTTATATAGTGTTTTATTATCCTTGCCCATTGTTTCTAGGGAGAAATGGTGATAAAAATGGTGTCAGGGAGGGCATTGGTGAGAGAGTTGTTGTGAGGAGGCAAGTGGTGTCAGTAGTCAGGGTTTTTTGTTAGGGGGCAGGTGGTGTAAGTTACGTATTCTCATGGGAGGCAGGTTGTCAGCCAGGCAACTGACAACCAGCTGAAATGGTGATAAAATGGTGTCAGGGGGACATTGGTGAGAGTTGTTGTTGTCAGGAGGCAAGTGGTGTCAGTGGTAGAAGTTGTCACGGGAAGCTGGAGTAATCGTGGTGTCAGTAGAGGCTGTAGAGGCAACATGTGACTGGCGGCTCCATGCTCCCTCTCCAGCCCCCCCCTCCCCCCCTCTTCTTGGCCTTCTTCCTGCACCACCACCTGAGACCAGCCACTAACTCTCCTCTCGTCATTAGATGCCATGAGTCAATTTAATGATAATTATCTCATTATCTACACTGAAAATAGCCTTTTTATTAGAAAAATGTCATATTGGAGCAATAATAATGGTGAGAATTGTGATATATATACAGTACATATTTTAAACAGTTTGAACACATTTCCTTTACACAGAATTTTTAAATTAATACAGTTGGGGTGTAGAAAACATCGCTCCTTGAGCCATTGGGGTGGGGTGGGTGGGAGGGGGGGTTTCCTGGATCCCTCCCTCCCTCCCTTCCACTAACAGCCTACATACTGTCCTGTAATACATTAGGTATTAATACAGTACTGTACTGTATAAAATGAATAAAACTTCAAAACAGACAACATTTTATTAATTATAACAACAAACAATATTATTTGAAAACAATTTGTAAATCTATTTAGATTAAATTTTGAGTAGGCCAATAACGTGTGAATGTCAGGGCTTGGTGAGGTGGCTGGCATCATTTCAGGTGGTGTCAGGGGAGGCAGGTGGTGGCAGTGGGAGGCAGGTGGTGTGAGGTGGTGGAAATAGTTGAAGGATGGAGGGAAATGGTTGAAGGGTGATAAAATGGTGTCAGGGGAGGCAGGTGGTGTCAGTGGAGGTTGGTGGGGTCATTGGTGGGAGATGTCAGGGGAGGCAGGTGGTGGAAGGAGGCAGGTGGGGTCAGTGGTGGAATGTGTTGTCAGGGGAGGTGGAAGTGGAGAGAGAGGGAGTGTAGGGAAGCAGGCGGAGGGGGGAAGGTTGCTGACCACGCATGGCTGCCAAACCTCTAATCCATACTCTATAAAAAATCTCAATCTTAGTTGTAAAATATTTATCCCAAAATATATTAATTTTTTTGTATTAATATACATTATTAATCATTAACATGTTTCATTGTTTCGTGTATAAAACAATAGCTGACTTGGCATTGTGGTGGTTTGTGTGGGGCCGGGTACCTCTTTTTTTTTTTTTTTTTTTGGGGGGGGGGGGGCCGAGTAGAGAGGAAGGAGAGGCATAGGTGAAGGGAAGTATAGAAGTGGGAAATACAGTGAGAGGTATGAAAGCAGGCGGGCTGTCCGACTTGCTGACACGATGTGTGGGTGTTGGCAGCTAAGCTAAGCTGGCTCCCTCTTGTCAGGAAGCTGTGAGTGTGTGAGAGGTTCTTCACATGTGTTTCACCATATATGGATGTCTATAGATGAATACTGTGTAGCATTCATATATATAAGCTCTGATACTTCCACACATGTTCTGTTTAAGGCTCTTTATTTTATTATTACTATTTATCGCGGGGTACCAGTGTGTCACTCCTCGAGTCATTGAAAGGAGGGGGGGGGGGGGTCCTGGAGGTGTGAGAGGAGACCTGTCAACCTCATTATCTCAATCATAGCATTTCTTGGGCATCCTAAGATAATTCTCATGGCTTCATTTTGTACCTTCTCCAACTTGCCCATCCTACCTTTACCAAAACAAGAAATGACAGGTGCAGCATAATCAATAGGAGATCTTACAGTACTCAAGTATATCATTCGTAGCACAGGGACTCCCACTCCCTTTCCACAGCATGCCAAGGCCTTCAGAGGTTGTAATCTCTTCCGACATTGACCCAACAGTCTTTTCATCTCAGCTTCCAAACTCTCATGGGTATATCCAACATATATACCTAAATATTTATATATATTAACTCTCTATATTTTACCGTTTATTTTCAGTATAATGGGCCTCCGACTTCTACATTCAAACTTAGTTTTGTTTTCATTAACCACCGGTCCCATATGGTGACACAGGTTTCCGAAATTGTCCAACACTGTTTGAACCTTTGAAATATCCTTGCCCTGAAACAAAATATCATCAGCATATATGATCGGAGTTACCCCATTTGAGTATCTCTCAGATGCTATCTTATTCATTAGTACATTAAACAGGGTGGGACTCAACACTCCTCCCTGAGGTGTGCCGAGTTCAAAAAACCTCTCACCTGACATACAACCTTGATACCACATCTGAGCCTTCCTTTCGTAAAGATAATAATAAAGATAAAGATCCAGCGCAATAATCTCCCTTTAACACCAAGACTAGCTAATTCATATAAAATAACCTCTTTGTTGGCTTTATCAAAAGCTCCTTGTAAATCAATGAAAATTCTATAATAATCATTTTCATTAGCTAGACATTTAATAATACAATCAGAGGTACTTTTTCCTTTGAGGAACCCGAACAAATTACTAGACAGCTGATCACCTATTATATATAAAAGTCTATTTAAAATGATCCTCTCCATCATTTTACAAAAACACGAGGTTAAAGACACAGGTCTGTACTCTCCATTGGCTTTAGGGATAGGGATGATCATAGCTTTTTTCCATTTATTGGGAATACTGCCCTCTTTATTACTAATATTAAAGAGGTCTAAAAGTGGGCTTTTCGTCATATTGGCAAGTTCATTAAGTATTTCATAAGTTACTCCATCCTCCCCAGGGGCGGTAGATTTCCCAACTTTAATCGCCGTTATTAGTTCTTCTCTGGTAATAACTGTGCAAGTGACATCACCACTGTTACCTGCTGTAAGTATAAAATCCTTTCTTAGATCTTTCCAAGAATCTAATGACTCTCTCGTTACAGCTGGTAATGAACTAAGTTTGGCAGCTTCCGCCCATTTATTTACGAGACCATTTGCAGTTCCTTGAGGGTCAGGATGTGCAACAAAATTATGCTTTTTACCCCTTATTTTATTTACGTCTTGCCAGATTTCCTTCAAGTTTCTGTTACTCCCAACTTTCTCTGCAAACTCCTGCCAATACTTGCTCCTAATTTCCTTTCTCTTCTCCCCACACAGCCTAGCAACTGCCAGTAAAGCATTCTTCCCTTCCTCAGTCCTACCATTCCTATTCCAATCCCTGTGAGCTCTCCTCATTGTCAATGTCCACCCCTTAAGCATCTTGTCATGTGTATAATTTTCTTTTCTGGGGGGATGCTTTTTTATACTAGATGTTTTCCTGTTCAATGTTGCATTAAATACATCTACCTCCTTAATTAAATCTTCATAAAATGCTTCTGCCAAAACTGGCTTATAAGTATCATACCAAGACTTAATATGGCCAACAAGACCCCTTAATTCTCCCTCATTAAACTTTAACCTTTTCCTCTGAAGGCAGGCATGCTTTTTATTTAGTTTAAGCTGTATTTGTAATGCAAAATGATCACTTAGCATTTCATCCACAGTAAGACAATTCCCCTCTATGCCCTCAGCATTTATAAAACAAGCATAATCTAATCTCCCTCCCCTCCAATGAGTAGGAGAGGGCTCGCCCAGCAGTTGAACATCTTCATGTTCCTGCAAAAACTGGTACCATCTGCAACCATTCCTATTTGCTTTACCCCTTGATCCTAAAGCTGGATGTCTGGCATTAAAATCCCCTACCACAAGTGTATCTTCAGAAAAGAAGGAATCTGGCAAGTATCTTAAATCAAGGGAGCTATCAGAGATGTATAGATTAATGAAATTTAACTCTCGGTCCTTTAATTGTATCCGCAAGCTAATACTTTCAATACCTCTATATATGTGGGGGATGGTGTAGTGGAGGGTGTGGGTGGTGTGGTGGGTATGGGGGATGGTGTGGGTTGTGGTGTGGTGCGTATGGGGGATGGTGTGAGTGGTGGTGTGGTGGGTATGGGAGATGGTGTGGGGGGTGTGGAGGATGGTGTGGGGGATGGTGTGGTGGGTATGGGGGATGGTGTGGTGGGTATGGGGGATGGTGTGGGTGTGGAGGATGGTGTGGGGGGGGGGGATGGTGATTCTCTCATCTCAGATTATTTTCGACACTTAAAGAGCATGAAAGATATTATCATGAAGCACCGCACAACGAAGAAACAAACTAAAATTAAAAAGTTTTTGGTACGGTTTCACAGTAGGCCTACAGGACCAGCACTAGCAAGGACTCCCTTCATGAGTCAGGTGCAATGTTTCCTAATGCCAATGTGTCCTGGCATATGTAAAAAAAAAAAAAAAAAATTTTTAAAAAGGTTGTTGGGGCCAGACGGATGGAACGAATTCTGCACTGGAACGAATCGACTTCGCCCCCATATAGTTCGTTAACACTTTGGTGCACCCCGCTCGCCACCCCTCAACTGGGCGATATGGGACCCAGGGTGTCAAGGGAGTGCGCGTAAATTCTGAAAAGTGTATACTCTCTTCAACTTTGTCACCTTAATTCTCGTCCTACGAGATTAAATTTGGTATCATTGTGTTCGCAATAGAATTCTCTACAGCACTAAATGCATATAAACTCCAAAAGCCCGACTAATTACCCGCAGCAAACAGAGAAAGTGCGAACGAGTTACCCAGGAGCGCGCAAACGCGATAAAATGTTTTCACTATTTTCACTCTGGTCACCTCAATTTTTATCCTAAGTCTTTCATTTTGGTCTCAATGGGTTCGCAATAGAATTCTCTAGAGGAACATTAGCATATAAAATAAAAAACCTGGTCACGCTCCAACCGCCGACGAGTTGAAGACGGGCCACGCATTAGCCGCGAGTGAGTGCTCAGCCGCCTTCCAGCTACACTCCCAATTCCCGCCCTTTTCAAGCCTTTCTTTCGCAATTTTCTTCCTGGAAGGGCCTTGTTCATGATCACTATCCATCGTGGAGTAAGCGTAGATAGTTTCTAAAGCCGCAGTAAGAAATATAGCCACGGAAAATAGCCGAAATGTTCACACGTTTGAGATGCGAGGGGAGGCGACATTGGTCACAACAGTGGAGTGAAAACAATGGGCCCACAGCATGTGCCAAGCTGCCTGAGGGCCACGAGGCTCAACAAAGAAAATGGGAAGACATCGGCGCGCATTTTAAAACCAGTCCCAAAAAAATCGGATAAAAACCTGATTTTTGGCGATTATTTAAAGTGGATGACGCAATGCTGCGTCATCCCCGGAATTACCGCCAGTAAACGGATGACGCAATGCTGCGTCATGCCCGGGCGAAAGTGTTAAGTGAGGACACACTGTACACAGAGAAATCACACAAACGTGATACTGTATATAGCAACGAGAAAATCAACTGGTGCTCTTAGGGGACTCAAACCCACAACCAATGGACTGGTTGCCAGTCACAACCTCTACCACTGTACCACACTTGACTCTTCTCAATCTCCATCCATGGTTTATTCTGTCCGGCTTGTTGGTGTGACTGTCCCTGAGTTATCCGTAGGGTGTTCTGCAAGTTGGTCGCAGATCCTCCACACTGTGATGTGTCCGGAAACAGGTACCAACAGTCTGTTTTTTACAACCTTAACCACTGCACTGCTCTGCCCCCAAATATGGCAAACCCCTGGTGCGCAGAAAATAAATTGTTCGCAAATTTTTTTTCGGACTTCTAATATTGTTAAATACCCTTCCCTGACCACATATATGTTGAAATAAAATCAAAATTGTACTTTGGCTGCAGTGGGCTCCAGAAAATGGCATGTGATGTCATGATTTGGTGGACACCCATGCCGTAGACTCCTGGAGCCAATCGCACACCAGCTTCAACATACATGAGTTGCCACAAATATTTTTTTGTTAATTTTTTCCGCACAATTGCAAATGCATTTATAATGTTTTTCTTGCCAGTCCTATGTATATTGAACACGTTCACAATATTTTGGCAGTAGAACATTCGTAGTGTTCCAAGACACTGTGTTACAAACAGAAATCACAATTGCGTGATGCATCAAATGAACAAATCCACAAGGGCCGTGACGAGGATTCGAACCTGCGTCCGAGAGCATCCCAAACGCTGCCTTAATCGACTGAGCTACCACATGGTCAAAAGGAATTGAAACCAAAGTTCTACTGAACTTACTGGATCCTGCAGCCTCTAACTGAGAACGGCCTATTGACATCGCTCGAGTGCATAGGGGGTGTTGTGTAAAACCCTGGTTTGTGCCTCAGAGAGGCTGCAGGATCCAGTAAGTTCAGTAGAACTTCGGTTTTGACGACTTTTGACCATGACGTAGCTCAGTCGATTAACCCTCAAACCGTTAGGGATCCAAATAGCTTTAACACCCACAGGCGCAACAAAAAAAAAATTGCAAAAAATTCTTTCGCCATATAAAAGTGTTTATTTTTGTTTCCTGATCACAGAAAAAATAACAAAAAAATCATGGGTGGCATATTTTAGCCGCAATAGGGTAGGGAAGTCTGGCAAAAAAGGGGCGTTGACAGAGCCTTCGCCAGACGAGATCTACTCCGCTTGAGCTGTCAGGCGGCAGTGGCCACAAATATATTATTACCTAATTATTTCAATGTCTCTGATTGATTTTTTCTTAGTTTTTTGCAGTAATATTATTCAATACAGTGAATTGTGATATATTTATATAATAAAATATGTGAATCATCACTGTACTCAAAATTATGGTGTTCATATTAGTGATTCAATTATTATGTTTATAAAACAATAAGCAAATAGTTTTGATGTTATTACACTATATACCCAGGTTATATATAAGTATCTGCATGTTTTGCTCACCATAACGAACCACTAAGTTGGTATTGAGTCAAAATGCAACAAGGAGTGACCGCCACACACCAGCCAGCCACTCACTGCCACTCCCTCCCTCAACAACACCTCACTTGCCCTCATTCTCCTCCCACGATACTGTTTTTGCCTTTATTCACTATACACAGATGTTATATATAAGTATTTACATGTTTTGTTCACCATAACTATACATCTAAGGTTGCATGGTGAGTAAAGGCACAAAGATGTAGCTACTCACACAAACCAGGGTTTTACACAACTCCCCCCATGCACTCGAGCTATGTCAATGCCGTGCTCCTTCTTCACCCTTACTTCATTACACACACAAATCACAATTGCATGATGCATCAAATGAACAAATCCTCAAGGGCCGTGACGAGGATTCGAACCTGAGAGCATCCCAGACGCTGCCTTAATCGATTGAGCTACGACATGGTCAAAAGAGTTGAAACCAGAAGTCCTACTGAACTTACTTGGATCCTGCAGCCTCTCCGAGACACAAACCAGGGTTTTACACAACTCCCCCCTGCACTCGAGCTATATTAATAGGCTGTTCTACATCTTTGCCCTTACTTCATTACACACAGAAATCACAATAGCGTGATGCATCAAATGAACAAATCTACAAGGTCTGTGACAAGGATTCAAACCTACATCCGAGAACATCCCAGACGCTTCCTTAATCGACTGAGCTACGACATGGCCAAAAGAGTTGAAACCAGAAGTTCTACTGAACTTACTTGGATCCTGCAGCCTCTCCAAGACACAAACCAGGGTTTTACACAACTCCCCCATGCACTCGAGCTATGTCAATAGGCCGTTCTACCTCTTCGCCCTTACTTCATTACACATTTGATCCATCACGCTATTGTGATTGGGACGCTTACCTTTCTGGGTGCCTGACCCAGTCGATGGCAGACATAGAATGTTTCCAACCGCACAGGGGTTTCTATAGGCCATTGTTCCCCATGCCTCTCTGAGGGGGCCAGGTTCTGGCTCGTGGTCCCCAGTAGGCCCATAGAACTCCATACACATGACCGATGCCAAAGTCTGACATTAGCATATCAGCCTGGATAAGCTCCAGGGAGTCACCAGGTCTCACCCAGAAAATGGTGTTTCATTACATTCAACACCGGTTTTTTTTATTATAATCTTGAATAAACTTTGTTTTATTTAAGGTTATATGAAGTGGACCCCAGATGGCACAGTGCTTGGCTTGAGTTGGGAAGGTGGCGGGTTGTCTTTGTGGAGTGTGTTTGGTTCACTACTCACTGTATCCTTGCGTTGGGATTATACTGAGGATCCATTATCAAGAGCCATAACCATCACAAACATGGTAAGTACTCATTTATAGCCTTCAACTCCCAGATAACATTTCTGTTAGCCCTGGAATATGTGTAATCTTTGTCCCTCATTCCCATTATATTGTTCAAGCTGTGCAAAGAATGCTGTGTTAAATATGTGTTGAATTTGTTCCTCAAAATACTTCTGTAGTATTGACATGCTACCATGTTGTTGTACTATTTCTGGGCATCGTATCCCACCTGATGGCTGCTGCCTGAATAAATTATACAGGTTTTATTTCATAAACATAATCGTGACATTTTTATTAGCAATTAAGTGTCCATCTTTGCACCCATGCAATCTCATATCAGTCCCCTCACACTCATTGCAATCTCATATAAGTCCTCATGTCCACACCCACTCTAGAAGAAATAATTTGCACGCGGAGTACCGTTCATGGCGCACCATACCACAGCTGGTATTTGTCATCCACACATTCAATATAGCACCTGGAACAATATAATAATATAACACACCTGATGTGTGGAAAAAGGCTAACATAGTTCCAATCTACACAAGTGGCAGCAGGGAAGACCCCCTTAATTATAGATTTGTATCATTGTGTCATAGTGTCAGTCAAAATATTGGAAAAAATAATTAAAACTAAATGGGTAGAACACCTGGAGAAAAACGATACAATATCAGACAGACAGTATGGTTTTCGATCTGGAAGATCCCATGTAACAAACTAACTCAGTTTCTTTGATCGAGCCACAGAGATTTTACACGAAAGAGATGGTTGGGTTGACTGCATCTATCTGGACCTAAAAACGGCTTTCAACAGAGTTCCACATAAGAGGTTGTTCTGGAAACTGGAACATATTGGAGGGGTGACAGGTAAGCTTCTAACATGGATGAAAAATTTCCTGACTGACAGAAAAATGAAGGCTGTAATCAGAGTCAATGTATCGGATTGGAGGAATGTCACTAGTGGAGTACCACAGGGTTCAGTTCTTGCACCGGTAATGTTCATTGTCTACATAAACAATCTACCAGTTGGAATACAGAATTATATGAACATGTTTGCTGATGGTGGTAAGATAATAGGGAAGATAAGAAACCTAGATGATTGTCATGCCCTTCAAGAAGACCTGAACAAAATAAGTATATGGAGCAGCACTTGGCAAATGGAATTTAATGTGAATAAATGCCATGTTATGTAATGTGGAATAGGAGAACATAGACCCCACACAACCTATAAATTATGTGAGAAATCTTTAAAGAATTCTGACAAAGAAAGGGATCTAGGGGATCCAGCCCATCAACCGTGAAGAGCTCAGTTCCCCAGGGTACTGTGTTTGCTCCAGTACTTTTTCTCATCCTCATATCGGACATAGACAAGAACACAACCTATAGCACAGTATCATCCTTTGCAGATGACACTAGGATTTTCATGAGAGTTGGCAACATAGAGGACATGGCAAACCTCCAATCAGATGTAGATCAGGTCTATCTATGGGCTACAGAAAATAATATGGTGTTTAACGAGGATAAGTTCCAGCTCATGCGCTACGGAAAAATTGAAAATATAAAAACAGAAACCACGTACAAAACTCAGGCAAATCATAACATGAGAACGAAAAGGCAATGTAAAGGATCTGGGTGTACTCATGTCGGAAGACCTTACCTTTAAAGAACACAATAAAGTAGCCGTCACAACTGCAAGAAAAATGACAGGCTGGATAACAAGAACTTTCCACACTAGAGATGCTATACCGATGATGATACTTTTCAAAACGCTTGTGCTCTCTAGAGTGGAGTACTGCTGCACAATGACAGCCCCTTTCAAAGCTGGAGAAATTGCTGACCTGGAGAGCGTGCAGAGATCCTTTACTGCTAGAATCCACTCAGTAAAACATCTAAATTACTGGGACCGACTAAAGAGCCTAAATCTGTACTCCCTTGAGCGCAGGCGGGAGAGATACATAATAATTTACACGTGGAAAATAATTGAGGGGCTGGTCCCAAACCTGCACACAGAAATAACATCACATGAGACCAGGAGGCATGGCAGGATGTGCAGAATACCCCCGTTGAAAAGCAGAGGTGCAACAGGTACTCTGAGAGAGAACTCTATCAACATCAGAGGCCCGAGACTGTTCAACACGCTTCCGCTACACATAAGGGGCATAACTGGCCGACCCCTCACAGTGTTCAAGAGAACTGGATAAGCACCTCCAAAGGATACCTGATCAACCAGGCTGTGACTCATACGTCAGGCTGCGAGCAGCCGTGTCTAACAGCCTGGTTGATCAGTCCAGCAACCAGGAGGCCTGGTCGACGACCGGGCCGCGGGGACACTAAGCCCCGGAAGCACCTCAAGGTAACCTCAAGGTAACCTCAAGGGGTGGTTTTAGATAGAAACCTGTCACCTGAGGACCACATTAAGAACATTGTGCGAGGAGCCTATCTTGAGTTGATTTCGGGGCTTTTTTAGTGTCCCCACGGCCCAGTCCTTGACCAGGCCTCCACCCCTAGGAAGCAGCCCCTGACAGATGACTAACTCCCAGGTACCTATTTACTGCTAGGTAACAGGGGCATAGGGTGAAAGAAACTCTGCCCATCGTTTCTCGCTGGCGCCCGAGATTGAACCCGGGACCACAGGATCACAAGTCCAGTGTGCTGTCCGCTCAGCCGACCAGCTCCATGCTACTGCCTCTGCTACACTTTCTAACTTCAGAATTGCTTTTGAATACATGGATGAAGAAATACTAAAGAAATTGTTCACGACTTTTGTTAGGCCAAACCTGGAATATGCAGCAGTTGTATGGTGCCCATATCTTAAGAAGCACATCAACAAACTGGAAAAGGTGCAACGACATGCCACTAAGTGGCTCCCAGAAGTGAAGGACAAGAGCTACGAGGAGAGGTTAGAGCCATTAAATATGCAAAAACTAGAAGATAGAAGAAAAGAGGAGATATGATCACTACATAAAAAATAGTAACAGGAATTGATAAAATTGATAGGGAAGAATTCCTGAGACCCGCAACTTCAAAAACAAGAGGTCATAGATTTAAACTCATGAAACAAAGCTGCCGGAGAAGTATAAGAAAATTCACTTTTGTGAACAGAGTGGTAGACGGTTGGAACAAGTTAGGTGAGATGGTGATGGAGGCCAAAACCGTCAGTAATTTCAAAGTGTTATATGACAAAGAGTGCTGGGGAGACGGGACACCATGAGCATAGCTCTCATCTTGTAACTACACTTAAGTAATTACACTTAGGTAATTACAGTGCTCGAAAGAACAGGAATCCCTTCAGTGTTAATTCTCCTGAAGTAGACACACATGCAGTAGCTGGGACATGGAAGATGGCCGCATACTGAAAGACTTCTTATATGGAGAACTGGCATCAGAAAAGCAGCCCACCGGAAGACCCCAGCTGCATTTCAAAGATACCTGCAAACGCGTCCTCAAGCAGCTGAACATCGACATCAACACTTGGGAGAAAGCAATTGTGGTCATTGGACCAGGTGCTCTCTTTTCTCTTCTCCTCGGTTTGTTGGGACACCTTCGGTTAGGGAGTATTTTTAATGTGGCACTCTTCTTGTTGGTATTGGCCTCCGGGGGTCTGGTTGGGGAGCTTCATGCTCTCCTCTGGCTCAGGGGTTTTTGCTCTTTTAGTCCTGGTGGTCGGTTTGTTTGTTTGTTTGCAGTTGTCATCTGCTTTTCTGGCGAAGAACAAGATGTCGGCTTACCAGAGGGGTCCTTAGGTGGTTGATGCTTGTTTAATTTGGCTGAAAGTGCATCATGTGTTGTGGCCGGTTGCGGCTCTTCGCCATTACTTGCGCTCCAAGGCCTCCTTGACCGAGGATGTGCTTTGGGTTGACCCAGTTGTCAACTCTCAGGTTGTGCGCAGGGTTATTAGGTCTAGCCAGCCTGCGGTCTATCCTCGTACCGCCTATGATGCTCGCAAATTTGCTGCTCTAGCTGCCATATTTGGTAATACTGTACTGCATATCTTGGACTGACATTCGGTCGCAAGGATTTTGGATGGTGAACAGGGTCCTGGCCACCCGTTACCTCATTATTGTTCCTGGACTTAGTCAGGCGTGTGTCGCTTTGGGTCGCAGGTTGCAGCCAGTTTCCTCGAGTTCGAGTTAAGGTGTGAGTGGTGGCTGCCTCCCGGGTGAGTCTCTTTTTTATTATTCTGTGGTTAGGTATTTCCAGAAGGGCTCTCCACAGAAAACCAGCATTGAATGTAATGAAATGGCATTTTCACGGTGAGTTCCGGAGGCTCCCTGGCAACCCTCCCTCCCTCCATTCGGTGGTTCTGCATTTTTTGACATTCAGTTTCATAACTAGGGGTGGATGGCCAGCACATAGGCCTGGAGCTCCCCTTTCCCCTCCCGCTGCGCAGCTCGGCAGTTATCTTCTTGAGATGGTTATCTTAGGATGATTTCGGGGCTTAGCATCCGCGTGGCCCGGTCCTCGACTAGCCCTCATTTTTGTTACACACCCCCAGGAAGCAGCCCGTAGCAGTTGTCTAACTCCCAGGTACCTATTTACTGCTAGGTGAACAGGCACATTAGTGTGAAAGAAACTCTGCCCATATGTTTCCGCCTCCACCGGGACCAAACCTAAAACCTCAGGATTACGAATCCGAAGTGCTGTTCATTCAGCTGTCAGGCTCCCCATGAGGTGTTGGTGTGACGTCATGCTTGTTTTCAGATTGGGGAGTTCTGCCTAGCAGTTCGACTTTTGTTAGCAATGTTTCACCAGTTGGGGTCCGTTTTGGGGCACCTACATATCTAGGTACCTAACCCGGTCTTTGGCAGACATAGAATGCTTCCAACCACATGGTGGTTTCTATAAGCCATTGCTCCTCATATCTCTCTGAGGGAGGGGCCAGGTTCTGGCTCGTGGTCCCTGGTAGGCAAGAACTCCAATTGAATTGACTGATGCCACAGTGTAATACGTACATATCAGGCCGGATGGCTTCGGGGAACATCCGGGGCCTCACCCAGAAAAAGGGGTTTCATTACATACAAGTTTTTTTTTCTTGATTTTGACAGACAGCATTATAGCCTGCACAGTTAGGGGCTAATATTGATGGTGAATTAAGTACTAGAGGGAATATCCAGTTTACAGCCATGTATAATATTGCATGTCTCCGTTGACTACACCTAGGATATTTTATGAGATCTGTAAGAGTGTGATAAAAAGTAACAAGTTGCTAGATGAAGAAAATTTAAGGAAATACTGTCAAAGTTAGTGACTACTTGTCTGAATATTATTCTAGAAATGTTTTGTTTCAGTAAAATAGGTGGGAGAGATAAAGTAAGTCGCTCTTTAACAAAATATGTTGGAAATGAAAGAATAAATATTGCAAAAAATAGGAATCTAGTTGAATAAAGGACAGGGTAAGAATATAGCAAGGTTTATCGATTATATTCTGAAAAGAAGTAAGATGAAAACTGTCAAGATTCAACTACAAACATTAAAACAAGAAAGCATGTAGAACTACGAAATAAATTTATATAGCTAAGTCAAGTTCACACTTAAATTAAGAGAATGATAATTTTATGTTCATTTGATTATTCACAGGAATGGGGTGCAGAGGGCTATGAAGTATGGTGTATTCAACAGTATGAACAATGTATTGAGAACCAGCCAAGGAGTAAAGGAGCCGAGAGCTATCAGTATCTAAGAAAGTCAGATTATACAAGGAAAGAAACTACAGAAAACACAGTTCCAGGAAAGGATTTTGATGAAGAGTTTTCCCGTGAAACTAAACGCCAGACATCTGTATTGCAGTTTTCTTTTATCAAGAGTGCTCTTACTGTCAACCCGTGCATGGTATGTTGTCATCTTTTTCTCTCAAACTCTGTTTTGATGCTCTGGTCTTTTTATACAAATACAGTAGAACCTCGAGTGACGACCGTCTCAATTGGCGAGAATTTTGGGTAACGAGCGCCCAGATCGCCAACAATTCGTCTCGCATGGCGAGCGCTCGTTTGAATGACGACAGCACCACATGGTGGGGTCGCGCTGCTTCTCACACATTCTCGGACGCCTCCGACGATGCAAATAATTTTTTTTTTTTTTAAGGTGCTAATGATGCTGGGATATAAAGGGGTGACTGCTGTGATGTTGCAAAGCATTAGCTTTATGTAGAAAAAAGTAGATGAAATATTTTGAAAAACAACAAATGTCAAAAAAGTTCATTCAGTGTTCGGCAGGTAGGCTGCTCCATGTTTCTTAAATAAAAAAAAAAACAAAAAAACAAAAAAACTGTTGAAACAATTTGAAAGGCAGACAAATGCCATAAAGGTTCGTTCAGTGTTTGTCGGGTAGGCTGCTCCATTATTGAGACATAAATGAAAATTACAAAACAAATGAAACACATTTGAAACAAAGAAAGATTGTCATAATGAAACAGCCTTCCCGACAAATACTGAACAAACCTTTATGGCATTTGTTCGTTTTTCAAATTGTTTCAACCATTTTTTCTGGGGGGAGCCCCGTCGGCTCCCCAGAGCTTTCTCAGGCTGATATGCTAATGTCAGATTTTGGCATCAGTCATGTGTATGGAGTTTTTAGGCCTACCAGGGAACTGGGCCAGAACTGGGCTCCCTCATGAGGCAAGGGAAGCAATGGCGTATAGAAACCCCCCACTGTGATTGGAAGCATTCTATGTCTGCCATCAACCAGATCAGGCACCCAGAAAGGTAAGCGCCTCAAAACAAACCCCTATTCTGGTTAAAATTGCTACCAAAAGCCGAACTAGTGGATAGAACTCCCCAACAGAAACAAGCAAACTAGTGTGACGTCACACGTCGCCGCGCCGCTGTCTGCGCAGCTCCCCCCCTCCCCAGGAGGGGGAAGGGGGCGCCCCAGACCCTCCACGCCGGCTACCCACACCTCAGTTCTTGAGGCTGATGCTATAGGCGAAGATCGTGTGCTCTGGCTCCGGTGTCTCTACATTACTGTGCTTCATGTGTGGTGTTTGTTTTCTGTGGGTGCGAGAGCCAGGAGTTATCTTCAGTACTCGGGCTGCATGCGCCTAGGGTTGCCTTCTCTAGGTGCCCTGTAAGTACTGCCCTTGGGTAGTACTTGTTGGCAAGCAAGTGGATAGAACTCCCCTAAAAGAAACGAGCAAACGAGCATGACATCACACTTCGCCACGCCGCAGTCTGCACAGCTCCCCCCTTCCCGGGAGGGGAAAGGGGGAGCCCCAGACCCACACCCGACTATCCACCCTTCAGTTCTGAGGCTGATGCTATAGGCAACGGTCATGTGCTCCGGCTTCAGTGGTTGTTTCAGCACTGTACGTAGAGTGTGGTGACTGTCTTCTAGGTGGTGCATGAGCCGGGAGGGATTCTCCAGTACTCAGGCTGCATGCGCCTAGGATTTCCTTCTCTAGGTGCCCTGTAAGTACTGCCCTTGGGGCTTGAGCAACCATCCACAAGATCCTTGGGTTCTGCCTCTGCCAGGCCGTTTATTGCTTGGTTTTCAGCCGCCCTTTGTGTGCTCGGGTGTTCTGTTTCCCTTGTTCACCTTAGGGTAGGGGGCAGTTTGCACTGCTCAGGATACTGCGCAGGTTGTTTTCACCAATCATAGCAGCCGGCTCTGTTCCGCCTCGGTACATTGTTCTCCTGCGGGGTTTTCGTTTTCTTTTTGTTTGTCTGCCTGGTGGGGGGGGGGGGTCTGCCTTGGTTCTTGCCCCTCTGTGTACTGAGTGTTCTTCCTTCTTCTGGTGGTTTCCCCTGCTAGGTCCTCGTGAGTGTACATGTCCCGGGGGTTCAGTTCTTAGAAAGTTGTTTGGTAGACTTGGTCGCCGGTTAGCAGTACCCTGCCTGAGCTTCCTTGAGCGTGAGTTCCATCTCAGGACCCTGGGAATTCCCACAGGAACGAGCAGGTCCGATGGATATGTCCCCGGAGTCCCTCCCTCCCTTTGTGTGAGTTTGAGGGTTGCTCTGTCCCCTTGTCTCAGGGTGACTATCACTGTTTTTGCCTCCGTGTGCTGCCTGTGGGGTCGGTGGCATCTTCGACCCAGAGCCCTGCGAGTTTTGTTGCTTGTTTGTGGCTTTATTACCCAGTCTTCTGCTGACTATGCGAGGGTGCAGGCAGCACGGGCGTTGCACGTAGAGTTTCAGTGGTCACGACGCTCTAGGTTGTTTGCTCCCTGGAAGCCCCAAGGCTGCCATGTTTTTGGTTGGTGTGACAGGGCTTTGGGGTGTTGGTCGCTTCAGTTTTGTTTCCTTCCGCGCCATTTTGTCTTTCCCGTTTTAGTCTAGTCTGGTTTTCACCCCTTCGTCCCTGCATCCGGATCCTTACCGTTTGTGGGTTTGTGGTCCTGGCGGGGCTTCAATGGTCTTGGAACTCGGGTGGTTTTGGGGTTTCCCCTTCCGGGGTAGCGACTGTTCCTCCAGTCGTGTTGTATGAGCCTGCCAGTGGGCTCCCTTCCTTAGTACTTTTCCGGCTACCCGGAAAGGCCCCGGGTTTTTCTTGTGAAGCTGGGGATTTGGGAGGACAGTTTGGCCCCAGGGTCTGCTGTGTGGGTTCCCGGGGCTTGTGAGGGGCTGACTTGGGGGGGCCCATCGAACCCCGTTGGATCCCGCCAGGATTTTTTCTACCCTCTGGGCTGGGCTTGCGGTTACGAGAAGTGAGATTCCCCCCCCCTCTCTCCGTTCGAGTTGCTTGGCGTCGGCCCCTCCCTGGGTTCAGTTCCTTCTCCCTTGGATCCGTCGGTTCCGTCCTGTCAATGGGGTTTTTCTCCGTTTCTCCGCCCTTCTTGGAATGGTCCTTCGCCATCATATTCCCCTCTTCTCGGGCTTCTGCATGACTTTTGGTCTCGGGTGCGACTGTGCCTTTATGTGCCTTCGTGCTTTATGCTTGCTTCTATAGGTTCTCTAAGATTCGGGAAGGTTTTTGCTTCTTCCCATATTATTGGAACATCTGTCGTCTTCCAGTGTGGCTTCCCTCCGGTCCTTTCTAGGGCTTGTTGGTCTTACTCCGTACTTCTTCGTGGGTTTTGGTCTTGTTTCGTTCTTTCGTGATTGTATCTCCTCTCCATGATCTGTCTCGTCACGGCTCATTTTCTTTCCATGTTCCTTGTTGGCGCCTTCCCGCTGAGCGGTTGTGCGGTTTGAACCTCCTGTCCTGCGCTGCAGGGATGCCAGATTGGGCTCCTTGTAGCCTGATTGGGCTACTTGTAGCCTGATTGGGTTACTTGTATTCCACATGAAGATCTATGCTATGTATGTTTCGCTACTTACTATTCTTTTCGCTTGCTGTTCACAGCTGACCTGTGTACTCTAAAAAGGCAATCAATTGTTACCAACAATATTTTGTCTGGTTTTATGGTCTCATTTGTGATTTTATTTCTTCCGCTCGTGACTTCTAGCGACCCAAATCTGGTATCCCTGCGGCTTCGCATGGGCCGTGGTAGTTTGTTTTGATATGGCTGGTGTAATTACCTAAGTTTAATTTCCTAAGTGTAGTTACAGGATGAGAGCTACGCTCGTGGTGTCCCGTCTACCCAGCACTTTTTGTCATATAACGCTTTGAAGCTACTGACGGTTTTGGCCTCCACCACCTTCTCACCTTTATATGACAAAGAGTGCTGGGAAGACGGGACACCACGAGCGTAGCTCTCATCCTGTAACTACACTTAGGTAATTACCTAACTTGTTCCAATCATCTATCACTCTGTTTGCGAAAGTGAATTTTCTTATATTTCTTCGGCATCTTTGTTTAGTTAGTTTAAATCTATAACCTCTTGTTCTTGAAGTTCCAGGTCTCAGGAAATCTTCCCTATCGATTTTATCAATTCCAGTTACTATTTTGTACGTAGTGATCATATCACCTCTTTTTCTTCTGTCTTCTAGTTTTGGCATATTTATTGCCTCTAACCTCTCCTCGTAGCTCTTGCCCTTCAGTTCTGGGAGCCACTTAGTAGCATGTTGACCAGACCACATCTTCTTGAGGTTATCTTGAGATGATTTCGGGGCTTTTAGTGTCCCCGCGGCCCGGTCCTCGACCAGGCCTCCACCCCCAGGAAGCCGCCCGTGACAGCTGACTAACACCCAGGTACCTATTTTACTGCTAGGTAACAGGGGCATAGGGTGAAAGAAACTCTGCCCATTGTTTCTCGCCAGCGCCTGGGATTGAACCCAGGACCACAGAATCACAAGTTCTGCGTGCTGTCCGCTCGGCCGATCGGCTCCCGGTCGGCCGAGCGGGAGCCGGCCGACCACCTTCACCTTCACATACTAGAAGGTGAAGGGACGACAACGTTTCGATCTGTCCTGGACCATTCTCAAGTCGATTGTGATGAGGATTGTTGTTGTTGTTAAAGATTTAGCTATTCAGGACAGAGTGTCCATGTAGCACGGGCTATGGTGAGCCCGTAATTGAGTTTGGTGGTATACATGATAACTTTTTTCCTGTGATGTTTAGGTCTAAGTTTAAAATGGAGGAGAGGACTTCTCCTTTTTCCCTGCTTATTTTGTCGCTTCTGTTTTATTGCACTGGTTTTAATCTTTTTATTAACATTATCTTGGTGGCGGATGTAGATGCAGAATGCTCACTAATGAGTCCCATTCCTCAACAGCTTTTCTAATCATTGTAGTCGCGGTGGAATGTGCATCTAATGCAGCTGCTGTCTGCATTAGATGCAGACAACATTAGGTAACAAACTCAACATTAGATTAATGTTGAGTTTGATGCGCAGGGGTTCAGTAGCTTCACATTCTAGTAAGTAGTGCAATAGCGGCGGCTCTGCCTCAGTTTCACAGATGTGACACTCTTTAACTATTGGGTTCATTACCTCCCAGCAGCACTTGTACCCAAGT